GGAGGATGGCACTAGTAGAGGTTTGACACTTTCTTCCATGAGTAATTTGCTCTTGGGATTTTGCCAAGACAAGGGCTGACAAGTTCATCATTTCAATAGAATGGAATCATAATTGGTTTTTCTGTTCAAAAATATGAATCATTTAATCATAAAAGAGTATAATTCTTTATTTAGGATTAAAATCAGTCCTATTTTTTATAATAAAAAAAACATTGATGGTTCCATTCTTGGATATGAGACCCTTTGTTTCGTTCTTAAGGGTGCAGCATTACTTGAACTATTTTATCATCAGTGCTTGCTTTGTATATTTGCCTTTTTGCCTCTAATACTTGACACAACATCTTGACCTTAGGGGCTCAAAAACTAGCCCGCATACGTGAGAACAGCAACTTTTTCCGGTCTGAACTGCAGAAAATGGGATTCGAGGTCCTAGGCGATAATGGTTCCCCTGTGATGCCCATAATGCTCTACAATCCAGCAAAAATACCTGCATTTTCCCGGGAATGTCTCAAACAGAATGTAAGTTTTCACTTATCCTATTTGATATGCAGCTGAGATTTTTCTTCAGCGAAAAACACACAAAATGTTGAGCTCATGTGTTTCTTTTACGCAATAGCACAGAGCGAAGCATTACTTTCTCAAAAAAAAAAACACACACTTCCCTCAAAAAACAAAAATGGTTGTGCATCGCTTAAGTAGCAAAAGCTCCTGCTGTTAGCAACTTTAATGTTGTCTTTAACTATTACAAACCGCTAAGCTTTGATGCAAATTGTAGGTGGCTGTGGTTACAGTTGCTTTTCCAGCAACCCCTCTACTCTTGGCAAGAGCACGTATTTGTATTTCTGCTGCTCATACAAGGGAAGATCTTCTCAAGGCATTGGAGGTTACATCTTTTGTTCACTTCTAGCATCTATTTAATTATCAACTAAATTTACTTATCAACTAAAATCACATTTTTCCCTTAAGTTTAAAACTTTTCTCATTTTTGCAGGTTATCGGTAGAGTTGGTGATATGGTGGGTATTAAATACTTCCCTGCTGCTGATCCAAACAAGCAACCCGCCATAGAAAACCGAGTGAAGTTGGAATAATCATATTCAATTTCCTTTCTTTAAACCATTTATCCGGATGCAGAGAATTGTCTCTCTACTCCTTAGCGTCGAGGTAATATCTTTGCGTGCAGGCTGCTCTCTCAGACCCTACTCCTAAGTGTCGGGCTTGTTTGGTTGTTCGCTAATATTTGGGTGCTGAAAATATTTTTTTAAAATGAGTCCTTATGTATTGAGTTCAAATGCTTGCTTTATGGTGTACATAGCATAATTTGAGGAATGTATGTTTGTGCACTCCTATTTAAAAATATTCTCTACATTCTAGTATTTTTGACCATTTTCTTGGCCTATTTCATTGTTTGTGTCCCCTTTCTTTTTTGGTATGACTGAAGTGTATCAATTACCCATTTTACCCATTTTTACTGGATTGGGAGCTGCAGTCTAAAAGCTGCTTCCCCACACCAATGCTTCACTTCTGTAACTGTTCCCATATGTCATGAAAAATGCGGTCTCGTTGCTATGTGGGCCGTATTAATGACGTAAATGATGTGACATTTTTAATCAAAATATTGTTAGACCAATTTAAGTTGTATACGGAGTATATGCTTTAGATACGGATTGAAGTGACACTATTATTTTTTTTAAAAAAACTAAAATAAGATTAAAATATGGTGAAAGTACCAAACTATGAGTTCCGTATCTTTTATCTCCAAAATAGGAACTACGATACCAATAATTTCAATATTTAATGCTAAAAACATTATGAAATGGTAATATACAGTGCCACAATGTCACTGTGAAAACTTTTATTTGGGAAATAAAAATATGTAAACTCTTATTCTAGGAAAGATTTATGTTTTACTCCCATTTGAGTAATTTTTTTGTTTTGTTTAGGAAATATATACGGAGTAATATATAGGAAATAATAAATATGAAAAGTTTCCTTCTACGCTTATATTACCTTATATACCTTTTTTTATTTTACAAATCATCATCTTTCCTTCTAAGCTTATTGAGAATCTCTTTGCATATCTTTCTTCTTTCTTCTACAGTGTAGATCTTAAATTATGTTACTTAGAACTTTTGTTTATGGTAAATGACTAATTATGATATGAAATAAAAGTATTTTCATATGATTTGATTATTTTTAAATGATTGAATATTTAAAATATATGTTTTATTATTTTAATCAAAATAACTTTGTAATGTAACTTACCATTTTTCGCAAGTTGTAACTCGGCATTACTCAATATATACTTATATTGTGTTATAGTTCACTACATATATGCATAAAAATAAGAAAAATTAAATGAGAGAAGACTTACTATCTACGTTTTTCATTTATGTTAAAATCGTTCATAGAAGTTTTATAGAATGATATTCTAATAGACGATAAGATTTATTTTGAAAAAAAATAAGGTGCTGGATGACCGGTCACCCCCCGAGTTTGGTGCTGGTTACTTCCTGTAAACTTTGAGGAATGGAATTTCGGGCTACACACAATTTGATCGATCTTACTTTTTGGGTTACGACCAAGAGGTCACGGTCGGACGGATTTGCCATCCCCAAACCCTAGTATCTAGGACAGGGGCGGGTCTACCCTTTGGAATATGGGACCAGCTGCCCCCAATCAATTTTTTTTAATATATGTATATTTTTAAATTTTATATATAATTGCCCCAATAAAAAATTAAATCTGCCCCCAGTCCATTATTAAGCCCAAACAAATTAATTACCTTAAGTCTAAAACCCAATTTCAAAAGTGGCCCAATTGTCCAAATTCCAAAAAATTTACCTAAAGTCTAAAACCCAATTATTTCCAAATTTACTGATTTCCCTTGGCGTTTGCGGAAACCGAGAAGCAGGAGCAATTGAACCTGTTAGAGTTCCCACATCGGAAAATAAAGATGAATATCACTTGCATATATTGAAGGGTGAAGCCCTACCTATCAGCTTAAGCTTTTGGGTTAGAATTGTGGATCCCGACTTTATATGCAAGTGGTTAATTTTACCCGACACTCTATCCGTTGTTCTCGGCCCGCCGGAATTTTAACATGGTATCAGAGCAGGTCCGGTCCGGATTTGATTGTTCCTGGTTGTTTGTTGTGGGTTTAGCAAAAATGTGCTACCCGTATGTTGTTTGGGCTGAGTTGGCTAAAAAGAGATTGAGATGCCACCGCCAGTTGTGTGGGCTAGCTATAAGAGATTGAGATGCTAGACCCGTTTGTCCAAGTACTAACTAGGCCAGGCTAGTTACCACTTGCGGGGGAGTGTTAGAGTTCCCACATCGGAAAATAAAGATGAATATCACTTGCATATATTGAAGGGTGAAGCCCTACCTATCAGCTTAAGCTTTTGGGTTAGAATTGTGGATCCCGACTTTATATGCAAGTGGTTAATTTTACCCGACACTCTATCCGTTGTTCTCGGCCCGCCGGAATTTTAACAGAACCGCCAAAGTGCCGAACACTGGAAGTGGAATCCGAACAGGAGCACCCGCTGTACCGCCGCCGCGCGTCCGCTGCGTCGCCTCCAGTCCGCCACAGCTTCGAATCCTTCAATCGAGTATCGGGCAATCGTAGAATCGGACAAGCATCCAGGTATTTCCAAATAATTTTTTTACTTTTTAAATTATGATCTAAATAATGTGTGATGTGCGAAACTTTTTTCCTTTTTATATGTAATGTGTGAAACTTTTTATGATCTAAAATATTTTTTTTCCTTTTTATGTGTAATGTGTGAAACTTTTTGGATAATTTGTTTTTGTTTTTCAATTTTCTATAAAATGAAATTGTTTATTATGTTGATTATTATTGATTAAAATTTAAAATTATCCCAAAACATATGAATTGATGACTCTAGTCTCTAAAAAGATATTAATTTTCCATTGATATACTTGAACAATTTGTTCTAATTTTTGTACATGGATTTAGTAAAAAAGTTTATTTCATTTTATATTTTTAGATAATAGAGAAGTTTTTTAAATGGAAGTTCCACTCAACGCGTGATGACCATATGTACCTTTACTAGCTAAAGAAATAGATTTAAGTGAGGTATATTCTATATATTTAATTGTACCTTGTTTTAAATTTAATTTTAATGGTAAGAAGTATGTTCTATCTATTGAATTGTCTCTTGTTTAAAAAAATTCACTTTAATTTACTTAATGCCCAAGTGAAAAAATTTCCTGGATCCGCCACTGATATAGGAGATCAGCGGAGAGACCCACACCCATAACTCAAAAGATCAATGTGGGAAAGTCCTTTGGCACCATCCGAGATTTATATTCAATCAATATATAATCAATATATTCTGATTGTATGTTGATGGATGTTATCTGATTCTTTGTCTTTAAGTGCGCAACTTCCATGCACCTAATGAGCCTCTTCTACTCTATAAACAATCTATGATAGAGAGAGGAGATGACACTCACTTTTACTTCCACAATACCCAGTACAGTTTGGAGAAAGAGTAAGAAACATATTCAGACTTAGAAGATTTACCCCGGTCTAAGTGATTCTTTGTTATGTTTGTTACTCTTGCGCTTATCTTTATTTTTCCGGTTAGGTCTCTCTAACCCGACCCAATTACCTACTTTTCGTATCTGGTGGAATTTACACCATCATCTTACATTTTCCAAATCTTTCTATTTTTTGTAACTCATCCTAATTCATCCCAATTTCTTGAAATTCTTTTTAATTATTTCAAACATCTAATTTTAAAATTTTAACCAAAGAATTTATTCACGCTTGAGTGGTAAGAAGCTCATCCCCAAGCAAAGACAAAAACATTTGCTCTTTATAGATCATTAGATTAAAAGAAAATATAAACCGATCCTAAATTATGATACACTAAATAATACTCCGCATAAAAAAAGTCATCCAAAAAATTGTTTTTAATCTTGTGAATTTATTGGTAGAATATAAAGGCTTAAAGCTACCTTACCCTACCAGGCTACCACATGTCACCCAAGTTGAATCCGAAAGTCCGAAACCCTACCAAAGGTCACCGCCGCTAAAGCCTAAAAGGATGTCGTCCAGGCAAAGGCATGCATCCTTATCCTTATGAAATATTATTATTATTATTATTATTATTATTATTATTATTATTATTATTATTATTATTATTATTATAGTGAGTGATTAATAAGCATTTTCCAATAGGAAGGCGGCGAGGAAAGGGGGGGCAAGACCACTGTAGTAATGGTGAAAGTACATAAAGAATGTAAGGACTGTGAAATGCAATTCTGCAATGCTCTGCGATCTTTTGATGGTAGGTTTAGATATTAAATTCAATTATTGTTGTTGTTCTTGTTGTTGTTGTTATTTTGACCGTATTACTATTATTATCATTATTATTTTTATGATTTTTGTTATTTTTTCCTCTCCAGGTTTAAGGGAAATACTATTCTTCAACAAATACACCTTCAGAGTAACAGCGCCAAATGACTTTAATTTAAATGAGCTGGCAAACCACATATTGGTTCGCGCAGACGTGTGAAAATAATTCCCTCCACCGTGGTGAGGGTTCATGTTTCTCCTGCTCTGAGTGATTGCCTGGATATATATAATGTTTTAAGTATAGATTATATTCCTTTTTGCAGACATGTCCCAAAGAAATTGGTATATCCCACTACCTCTCAAAAAAACATGATAGTTATTGCAAATTACGGAGTATTTGATAAAATTTTGGGAGAGAGCTCAACAGGGATATTTGGAGAGTTATTTTCTAAGAGTGTTGCTTCTGTCACCGGAATTAAAATCTTCAGTGGCAATAGTGATGTCGTGATAGAGTGCAAAGCTGTTGTTAAAAGTGATGAATATTCACTACTTTTGACAGGTCACAAAATGTTTAACTCAGTACCCGTACCATCTTTCATTGTTGAAGTAAAGAGTTCAACATTTGAGACCTTTTCAGCCCATGTAGTTTATAGTGATTCAGATTTGGATATCAGTATTTTAAAAATGGAAGATAATTTGGGTATTAAAGTTATGGCAGCTAAGTTGTACACAAAATCGGTTGGCTTTGGTGAGGATGTTTATAGCATTACTGGTCCTAATTCAATGGAGCACCCTTAGTGTTTGCCACCGCGAGAGGATTTGTAAATCATCCATCCTTACCATCTTATAAGGTAAACTCAGATGACATATATATGGGAGGTCTAGGGATTTTGTTTTCTAGAAATGGTTGGGATCTTTACTCAAGGGGTGGGCCTCTTTAACATGGAGGGGCGAGTGGTTGGCATTTATTGTAGATCCTACACGACAGATGATGGCGTCAACTATATCGTATAGAAAAAGACCAAAATAAGACTAAAATATTGAAAAAATATCAAAATAACACATACATGTTTTTATTCCCGAAATAGGACTTTTTTTTGCCACATGAAAGGAATGGGACTTACATTCCCAAACATGGTCATGTCCCGAAATAAGATCTTATTTTGGTCTTTTTCCATTCCATATAGTTGACGCCATCATCTGTCGTGTAGGATCTACAATAAATGCCAACCACTCGCCCCTCCATGTTAAAGAGGCCCCCCCCCCTTGAGTAAAGATACCAACCATTTCCAGAATACAAAATCCCCAGACCTCCTATATATATGTCCTCTGAGTTTACCTTATAGGATGGTACGGATGGATGATTTACAAATCTTCTCGCGGTGGCAAACACTAAGGGTGCTCCATCGAATTTAGGACCAGTAATGCTATAAACATCCTCACCAAAGCCAACCGATTTTGTGTACAACTTAGCTGCCATAACTTTAATACCCAAATTATCTTCCACTTTCAAAATACTGATATCCAAATCTGAATTACTATAAACTACATGGGCTGAAAATGTCTCAAATGTTGAACTCTTTACTTCAACAATGAAAGATGGTACGGGTACTGAGTTAAAGATTTTGTGACCTGTCAAAAGTAGTGAATATTCATCACTTTTAAAGATAACAACAGCTTTGTACTCTATCACGACATTACTATTGCCATTGAAGATTTTAATTCCGGTGACAAAAGCAACACTCTTAGAAAATAACTCTCCAAATATCCCTGTTGAGCTCTCTCTCAAAATTTTATCAAATAATTTGCAATAACTATCATGTTTCTTTGAGAGGTAGTGGGATATACCAATTTCTTTGGGACATGTCTGCAAAAAGGAATATAACCTATACTTAAAACATTATATATATCCGGGCAATCACTCAGAGCAGGAGAAACATGAACCCTCACCTCGGTGGAGGGAATTAATTTCACACGTCTTCCTGTGCGAACCAATATGTGGTTCGCCAGCTCATTTAAATCAAAGTCATTTGGCGCTGTTACTCTGAAGGTGTATTTGTTGAAGGATAGTATTTCCCTTAAACCTGGAGAGGAAAAAATAAAAAAAATCATATTCCTATTCTTATACTAAGAAAATTGATAGGGGTTCACGATTTCTTGTTTTCATCGCTAGTTTTAGGGTTTCAGGCTTTCAGCTCCTTACCTCCTCCTCCACCATGGTTAGAGATCGGCTCAGTTTTATTGCTTTTGTGATTGTTGTTATTATTATCATTAACATAAACGATTTCGTAAGTATATTCTTAATTTCAATAATCACAGGGAAATTTGCTTCTGGAGAGGTATCTATACGGGCGCTCTGGAATCCATCGCGTGAATAGATCTGTCAATGCAGTTGTTGGGAAGAGGAAGTAATAAATCTCTTTTTTTCTTGCTTTAGTTAATTTGCATAGAAATTAGTGGTTAGCATTTTCCTATTTTATGTGCTCTTGTCCCCAGAAACTTTAACCACGAATTGGGGAAAGAATTGTTTTGGTATACTATTAATCTTTATGTAGCATTTGTTTGAAGGGTGTTGCTATATTCACCCCAATTATGGCCAAAATCCACTCCATTTGTGTTAAATAGACAAATTTACCCTTAAAATTTCCCAAACATCTATCATCCCTTTCATGTGTTTGCAGGACAAAATTGCCCATTTAACCATAATTGGGGTGGATTTATCCATGAATGGAGTGTTCGTTGAAATTGGTGGTCTTGGGTGTACTATACTCTAGTAGCAGTAGAGTTTGATATAGGATTTCTTTGGATCATTTTTACTGGATTGGGAGCTGCAGTCTAAAAGCTGCTTCCCCACACCAATGCTTCACTTCTGTAACTGTTCCCATATGTCATGAAAAATGCGGTCTCGTTGCTATGTGGGCCGTACTCGGAGAGTGAGATGGCATTGGGTGTGGGTTCTCAATAGATAGGCTGTGCCTTATGTCCCTGCCTGCCTAATTTGCTTTCCAAACTTGTAATCTTATACAGTGCTAACTATATATATATTGAACTGGGTGACCAGATTGAAATTGCGTCGCAAGTTTGCTAGTAGGCAAGTGGATGCTGAGGGTCATGATGGTGGTGCAGCCCCGGAAGAAACAACAATGGAAAAGGTCAGTTTGCGGAGGCTGCATGCCCGGCTACTTCACAATCTCTTGTTTCTTTGCCAATTTTAGCGGGATGACATAATCAAACAGTTGTATTTTGAATTTTACGTTATTATCGGTGCTTTCAAAAAAAGTAAAACCTTGTTGCTTGTCATTTAAATTTTAATTGTTTGGTGGGTCATGGAAGAGTTTGATTCTCTATGCAAGCATTTTGAGTTCTCTGCAGATGCAAGAAAATCATGCACGGAATGGGATTGGCAATGGCATGCACTTAGACAACGGGAAAAAGAGCTTTGAAGGTTATTGCGAAGAGAGCCTCCTTGAAGATGTAATTTTTTTTTTGTTGAAATATTTCCTCCTCGCTTATCACCACCATCTTCATTATTAAAGAAAACAATTTATCAAGTCTAACTTTTACATTTTTTTTAAATTATAATATAACGGAGTAGTTGCATAGAGACATGTATGCATACCGCTTGAACGACCTAGTTGATCATCAGGTTCGATTTCTTCGCGACTTAGTTGATGATCCAACTTGGAGAGAGTAAGCAATCTCTCTCTCTCTCTCTCTCTCTCTCTCTCTTATTGATTTCTTCTTTTTTAATGTATGTGAGATTTTCATTATTCGTATTTGTTTAGAATTAATTAGGCGCGGTATGTTGTCTATTTTGTTGGGCAGTTTTACAATCACGCCATAAAAGATGAAAGATTGATGTTGGTTGGGTCTCACGATTTTTTCTGATATCATTTCATTGCAGGATAAGATATGCTTAAGTGATGAATGGAGCCTGACTGAGAAGGATGAATGGTTCTACTTATGCATGCACATCTGCAGTGCGGAGTTTCTACCTGTCTATCTATCTATTTATCTATTTTGGCTCTACAGACATATGGATTTTGTTGTGATCACTCTGTAATGATTTTGTTTTATGGACCATGTAATTGTTGCATGCTTCAGGACGGAGGCAGTTTTAAGTAATTTGCTTTTTTGTGTGCCATTTTGAAATGATTTCCTCCGCGGGTATGGACACATCCATCATACAGTAGTTTTTTTCTTCTTTTCTTTCTCTCTATGATGAAATGGATTCTGCCCTCCGCTCATCATCTTTTAACTAAATCTTAACATGATGAAGTCATGATTGTTTGAATATGCTTTTTTTTCCAACAATAAAAAACAACTTTGATTGCTTTTATTCTCTTTTTTTACTAGTCCATCCTTTCTAAAGCGCTCTTCCCAGTTATTTCACACTTTGTAAAAAATAGAAATCGGAAGAATGTTTTTCACACATAAAGGAGTACTTTCTTAGCAAGAGGGAGGTCAGAATTCAAGGTCAAACATTATTATTTTTTATATCATTTTTAATCAAGTTGGTGTTCACTCATGGTCAGCTTTATGTTACTGTTTAATGAGTGAAAACAAAAACGCAATAAAAATATTTGTTCTAGATGTCAATGATATCTTTTCAACTATATCAAAAATATTGTATACCCTAAACTTTCAAATATAATTTGATATTAAAACAAACTTTGTTGAGTACACATTCAATTCCTCAAATATTGTTTATTCTACTTGGGAATTTTTGTCTATAGTATTAAAAATCATAGAGAAATATATTTTCTTTATTCCTTAAAGAATATTACATTGAAAAAGTTTCAGAACCGACAAAAATTTCTTTTGATCGTGTATTGCACAGATAAAAATACTAGTATAATTAATGCTCCATTAAGAAAACGTGGCAATAATGCTTTAATATTACTTCTTTTTATATATTTGTTTCTATTTTTGCAAGATTATATTATAAACTAATGATTTAAATATTGGTTTATATTATTATTATTATTATTATTATTATTATTATTATTATTATTATAGGCCACAAAAATAGGGACTCCCTCCATTGAAGAAAACGGTTTTTATTTTGATTAATGAGAGAAATAAGAATCATATATTTTTTGTTGACTTTCCAATTTTATCTATAATGTGCTGGATAAAAGTAAGATAAATGAATAAATTATTAGTGAAAAATTATGATGTGATGTGTGAAGTGGAAAAAAACTTGAGGTAAAATTAAAAGTAATTTTTTAATTAAAAGTGAAAGTATTTTGGTACAAGAGATAAAAAATAAAAAGAATTAAGTGTTTTGGTGAACGGAACAAAAACTAAATTATTTTCAAAGAATTATGTACAATCTCCCCTTAAGAGCTGACGATTAACATAAACAATACTAGGCAGCAAGGCGAAGGGGGGATTTTTATAAACAATGGTCAAGCCTTGTAATCTTGAATTCAAAGATATGCCACAAATTAACCCAGCTAGGATTAATAACCAAAGGAGGATTAGAAACTGGCTTAATTATGATTCAAGTGGTTTAATAATTCATAGCAGCAATTGCCAAAGATGATCCAAAACTTGAGTTTAAAAAAACCCATGAACACAATCAACCAGCGTAGACTGTTTCCCATAGCAAAAATGAACACAAACAAACAAAACAACATAATCTGTTCAGTTTCTACCAAGTCCTTTCCTTAAGCATCTTCATGCTTATGAACCTACACACAAAGAAACAACCCAATAAGCCACGTTTTCGACGAGTCTAGACTGTTTCGGATAGCACAAATGAACACAAACAAAAAAGTTAACACCAATTCACTCCCCTCTTCTCTAATGAATGGATCGAGAAACAAAGCAATTAAGCACCTGCCAACTCACAGAATCAAAACAAAAAAAACAGCACTATCTGTTCAGTTTCTACATTCTTTCCTCGAGCATCTTCATGCCTACATACTTGCAAACAAAGAAACAAACCCGATAAGGCACGTTTTCATTTTGCACCTAAACCATGTGATGAATAGTTCTTATTTACACGCGCAATTTTCAATTTAATACAAATCTACCATACAAATTAAACACAGTGTACCCATGGACCAAAATCAACTCCTTTCATCATAGTGATCAAATCAAGTTCATCATAAAAAAGTTTTTTTTACCTCAAAATCTAAACTCAAAACTCAGTTCTTTTTTCCTTCAAGTGAGACTTTGGCTTTTCCTTCTTCAAAATAAGACTTGAGGAGATCTAGCAAATCTATGTCCTGAAAAAAAACAAAAAAAAAAACATTTAGATCACAAATTACAACATTGTGCGTATGTGTGTGTACGCTTTGATTCTTATTACCTGCTCCTGTTTTAAAAAATTCAGCACACTCCCCAACGACTGGGCAAAGTGATATGTCACATAGTCATCTGTATCATACATCCCACAATAAATGCCTACGAGTCTTCCTTCCCGATCAAAGAGGGGCCCACCACAGGCACCATTATCCCACCCTTTGCCCGAAAACAGAATCCCTGTGCCCTTATACTTTGAGGTTATGAGTTCACTTGGTGCAGATGGATGGTGCACTAATCCTTTGGCCAAAGCAAACACAAGGGGTGCCAAATCGATATTTGGGGCAGTGATACTGTAGACCACATCCCCAAAGGCAACAGGTTTGTCATAAAGATCAGAGGCAACCACTTCATCACCCAAGTCTTCCTCAATGCGCAAAATACCCAAATTTATATGTTCGTTCTTGTAGACTAAGTGGGCTGAAAACGTTTTAAATGAGCAGTTAGTAACTTCAATCTTAGTAGATGGCACAAGGAGTGTGTCAAAGGCATAGGAGCACGTCAAGAGTATCGAACAAGCATCACTTTTACAAACCACGACACCAGCGCACTCCTTCCACGTATCATTGTTGTCGCACTGAACTCTAATTCTCACCACAGAACCAAAGCTATGCAAAAACAATTTGCCCCCTTCCCCCCTCTGTGCTCTTTTTCATAGTATTGGCAAATGATTGGCAAAAATTGGCATGCCCCTTGACAATATAGTGAGATAAGCCATCATTTCTAGGACAGGTCTGCAAACAGGGAATTTCAGGAAATACTCATGAGATTTTCCAGCTCTAAACAAGCACAAGAAAGAAACATGAATACTCACAGTGGCAGTGGGTACTAATTTTACAGATCTACCAGTATTCTTGAACAGATGTGCCCCAAGCAAATTCAGATCAAAGTCATTGGAAGCAGTTACAATGTAGTTGTATTTGCTCAAGACTGTTACTTTCCTTATTCCTAGGGAGGAAACAAACAGTAAAGAGTGGCTCCAATTTGAATTCAATCATAAAATAGTCAAATATACCTCGGAATGATTTCAGAGTGTTGGAGAATTTCACATCACAATCTTCACAGTTCTCGTGGATTTCGACATGTACCGTCGCCTCCCCCCTTTCCTATGGAAAGTATTGCGGTTACAGTGTTTTTTCACTCATAATAACAACAACAATAAACCACACTCCTTAATAAATACAGTACTCCGCAATAACAAGAACTACAGTAATAAAAATAATAAATACTCCACAATAATAATGATGATAATAATTAATAATCCGTATAATGCGGGGTCATTATTGAGATTACCAAGTATAATCCGGAGTTATAATGATACACACCTGGGGTCCCGCCGCCATAGCTGTAGAAAAGGGCAAGCTGTTAGCTGTGGCCTGTGGTCGGCTGACATTTGTAGTACTCCGTAATTTATTTTCTCCCTTACACTAGAAGATTTATTACTCTCAAATGTAATACTCCGTAGATTTCATTTGTATAATTTTAATGCTCCCTATTTCAAAAAGATAATGTTACATTTACACCAAAAATTGTATTCCATTTGCACACCATAGTTATACATAAATATTTTGATGTTTTACACCGACACAAGTGTTGGTGCTTAACAAAAATTTACACAGACACAAAATGTTGGTGCATTAACAAAAATTATTTTTGCACCAACACAAAATATCGGTGCAAACATGCGGTGTACAAAATGTGGTACAAAAATTTGGGGTGCAAATAGCTTTATCCATTTCAAAAATAGCATTTCAAAATGAAACTCTTCATATTACATTCTTATAAAACACAATTTACTTCTTCAGCATTTTGAAGTTAAAGTTTACAAATGTTGACCAAGAAAAATTAAATTCAGGACATGTTTTTTAAGACCATTAAGTATTAACATAATATGGTACTCCCTCTATTTGAAAAAAAAAATCATCTTATTTTTTTGGGCATCCCACCAAGCACTTCTACTCTCACATAAAATATTTAAAATACATCTCATTTCTTTCAAGACTATTAAAAATCTGAATGGAGGATGTGGTGTTTTTTTAAGACCATAGTTTAAAAAACCGGATCAAACCGGTTGGTTGGACTAGAAACAAGTGGATTGGAAATCGAATCAGTCCGGTGTGTTTATAAAGCCTTGCATAGTCTACTTCGCTAAATCGATTTGTCAAAAATATACTTCCTCCGTCCCCCATAGATCTTCTCAATATCCCTTTTTCTTTGTCCATCATAGATTTTCTCATTTCATTTTTAACAATTAAAATACTACAACTACCCCACTTACTTTATTTATTACACCTCACTCACCTCATTTAATACACTCAACTCATTTTCATTAAGGGTATTATGGTAAACTTTCACTTTTTTCAACTCTCCTTAAAACCCACCAAAAGTCAATTTGAGAATATCTTAGGGAGACGGAGGGTGTAAATCAATTTGTCAAAATATAAATTGTGATAGCAAATTCAAAGCATTTTCTATGCCATCATACTCCATTATAGTGAAGGAGGAACACTAAAATAAAGTGTTCTAAAATACTGAGTAGCAACACAAATTCTTGTTCTTTTGAAGGGGAGTAAATTTTTTTCTAGTGGCTTGATAAAGTACTCTATTTGTTACTCTTTATCATTGTTTGAAGCTCAAATAAAAAAGGTAAACAAAGTTACAATTGAAGAAAAATAAGAGAAAAAATGAATACATCATTTTGGGCTTCAATAGTGCTCATCGTCAACATGACAGATACTCCTCCATAATAGCATCCGTGATAGAGATTACAGTGCTGAAGACGTTTTCGAAACCATCATCCGTGACCGTGATCGAAATTTTATCGATCAATGTCGATCAATTACAGAATATGTATAACTTTTTTCAAGTTAAATTATGTTGTAGTTTAAGATTCGCAGACATTTATTTAAATTCTTAAACTCAACTTTTATACAATTGTCATTGTTTATTGACATATATTATCCCCCAAATAATAGTTTAGATATTTCAAAAAAATTGATTCCTCTTTTAGAACTCATACCACCATCTGTGCTCATCGTCATTATGAAATTGAGTAAATTTTAAAAATAATTCTTTCTACTAAGATACTCCGGAGTACTTTTCTAATCATTTTAAAAAAAGGTACTTTTCTAAAACAGTTCTCAATAAGCAATAATTACGTCATAGTCTTTTCTAATTTAATATTTTCCAAAATGATCTTTTCTTATTACATGAGTGATTTTAACTTTAAATGGAGTTGTATAGATTTGGATACATTTTATTTTTTTATATTAATATTTGTTTAGATTCTTCAAGTTCATGGATTATTCTAACATTAATAATCAATTATAAATAGACTGAAATTATTAAAATTATAAATAAAGAAAAAATATCATGACTTCAAACAAAAGAGTTTAAAAACACGTGGATAAAATAGATTCAATTAGTAAAAAAATAAAATAAATTTATTTTCAAAAACAAAAAAATGTATATTCACATTTGATATGTTTCACAAAAAAATCTTATTTTTTTAAAAATTGAAAAAATCACATTTATTTTAAAACTGAACTTTACTAGAATTGTCAAACGATTTTATTTTAAAATTGTAAAAGATAAATTATAATTACAATTTTTTCACATAAAAATTTATCGTTAAATTCAGATTGTATGACTTATATATCCCTCATATATAAAAATAAGATGTAAATCTCTAGAAAGTTGACATGTTGTATAAATGGTTTATGTGGCGTTTTTTAAAACTTAATATTCTTTCCTAAATTATATTTTTTCTCTTCATTTATAAAAAAAATTCAAAATAATAAATTAGATACTCTCTTCACCTCTTAATCAAATCATATTCCTTTCATGAGATGTTTAAATGAAGTTAGTTTTGATTTTATTATTTAAATATTGATGTACAATTTAAAAATTAAAACATTTTAAAAACTATAATAAAATTTAACTCGCTATGTCTCAAAATAATTTACCTCTTTATTATTGCATCATCTCAATAACTTTTGTAATTAGTTTGCATGTTTTCATTGACCATTTGATAAAATAAAATATTTTTTCACCTCTCACTTCTTATTTTATACGGAGTAGAACTTTTGATATAATTTTTAAATATTTAATTTTTTTATTTTATATACCAATTTATAAACAAAATCCTTTAATATAATATTTGAGAGTTGATAGCCTAGAAGGATGACACGTGGCAAGTGAAGGCTCCTAATTTGCTTACACCTAGGATGACACGCGTCCAATTATTAGCGGAAGCTCCTTCTTTCTTTCCTTCGACCTTCTTCTTCGCGTTCTTCGCGGAAAGGAAAGTAAAAAAAATTGGATCTTCACGCTAGGAAACTAATTTGATTCAGCCCTGATTCTTCGCTGCCTTGGATTTACACGGAAGGAAAGAAATCGAGGTACTGCTATTCGACTTTCCATTCTTCTTCTTCGGTTACCCCAATTTTACCCTAATTTATTCCGGAAAATTCTTTTTTTCATGAATTGGTGGGTTGATTGATACCAATCTGCTTCCTTCAATTAATTGAAATAATAAAAATCGTGATTCATACCTAATCTGCTTCTTTCATACTGTCAAAATCCATTTTTTTTCCAAGGGAAAGGGCAATGCTCATTCACGGATCAAATACTGTGATAACAAACAAGTATTCTATTTGTTTTTTCCTGCATCTGTCATAGTCTGCCAATACATTTTTATGCATATTTTGTCCTTATTTTTATGCATCATTTTTCTGCATATTTTTTCTTTATTTTTATGCATCATTTTCTGCATCTGCCATGGTGTGCCAATACATTTTTGATCCATCATTTTTCAGTACTACTAGCAGTTACATTTTGATGCATCATTGTGCTGCAATTGTCATGCTCTTGCAATTATAGGGCATAGACATCATTTTTATGTACTTTATATCAGATGGGTTATGAGGGGAATTTAATGAGCATTGCTTTTGCTTTGATGTACCTATAGGATGTTTGTGAGAATAATAAACTAAC